GCCGCACCACAATGAAATTAGCACAACACAACGGAAACAAGCCACAACAAAACTAAATTAACACAACACAACGAAATTAGCACAACAGAAACACGCCGCACCACAATGAAATTAGCACAACACAACGGAAACAAGCCACAACAAAACTAAATTAACACAACACAACGAAATTAGCACAACAGAAACACGCCGCACCACAATGAAATTAGCACAACACAACGGAAACAAGCCACAACAAAACTAAATTAACACAACACAACGAAATTAGCACAACAGAAACACGCCGCACCACAATGAAATTAGCACAACACAACGGAAACAAGCCACAACAAAACTAAATTAACACAACACAACGAAATTAGCACAACAGAAGTTTCAAACTTTCACATAGCATCTTTAGGTTATAATAACATTAAAAATTCAAATCCAGATTTTGATTTTCAAAGATTTATTATAAAATTGTATACTTTTTTCCCCAAAATGCAATAAATCCATTGAATCAATATAAAAGTTATTTTTCATATTGAAATTGTTGAAAATTCACAACATAGTAAGTTGATCCACATATGACAGCCTCTGAACTTGGTCAATACTAATCTTATATACAGGCACTGGACTAAAAATACATTCAATCAGTCATAGCTCCAAAAATAATTCAACGGATCATCTTTTTAATGCTATAAATTAATTACAACAATAAAAGCACATTTAATTATGAACATACATGAACAACAATATCACATTAAACCACAGAAATTCCAAAATGACATTTCCTTTACATTCAACTTCCAAAAGTGCATTCATCTTTGCCATGTTACATTCATTTAGTTGACTAGTGCTATATGCTGTAACAAAAACATTAATGGCATACATAAAAACACTTTCACTGACATGCTCCGCAATATCGCGTTCATAATCGAATGCGACTCATCTGCGATTATGAACGCGATATAGCAGTGAGCTACGGCTCTGTGTATTAAATGCTGCTCCATCTGAAAGCACGTGATGGAGATTTACTATTGATCACAGAACCGTCTTTACTGACAAGATGCGCATGACAATCACATGCGATTTATCGTGCAGCCCTAATTTTTTTGTTCGTTTGTTGATCACAAAGTACCACATAGATGAGGAAAACTAGGATGCCGGGTGTATTCAAAACGCCGCCCTAGAGTGCAAGAGTGCATGGAATGGTGCACAGTGATTGGTTGAGCGGATATATCGCATTCTGCAGAAAAGGGAGACTGGGCGGTCTGGA